TAAAACAGGTGTTAAGATGGTAAAACAACAGAAACCTTTTGGGGCCGTCCATGAATTACGTCACACACCTGGGGGGAGGGGGGGGATCAGACATTTGTGACGAGCAATGTGACGTCACATCAAAATGCGCAACTTTAAATAAATATAGACAACACGTTCTACTTATATTCTTGGTTCTTTCGGTAAAGTCACGTAGAAGGGAACAATAAAATAATAAAAACATTCAAAATGAAATTCTCACGACGTTTTGACTGCAACAATCGTCATCAGGTGTGAAAACCACAGTAAGAATATTTGAAAAAAGTGTCGGTTTTTCAAATTTTCTTGCTGTGGTTTTCACACCTGATGATGATTGCTTGTGTTGCAGTCGAAACGTCGTGAGAATTTAATTGTTTTATATTTTTATTATTTTATTGTTTCCCTTCTACGTGACTTTACCGAAAGAACCAAGAATATGAATCCCTGCAGTCACGAAAGCTTTAAATCAAAACGTTCTACTTAATTAAATAGACTTTTTAATAAATGTTTACTCCTACAACATCAGAGTGCAGCGCCACATTAAATACGCACAACATTGACAATAGTTTAAAGCGATTTGAAGCATGTTTAAAAAAAATGTTGGGGGAGGGGGGGCAGAGCTTTGTGACGTCATATTTGAGGGGGGGCTGACTTTTTGTGACGCCGTGTGACGAGGGAGGGGGAGGGGTCAAAAATCGTCCAAAATCTCGTGACGTAATTTATGGACGACCCCTTTGCAAGGAATCATGTCTGCATTAACCAGGCGTATTTGTGGACATGCAAACAAATATCATGCTCTGGTAATGTATGATGCATTGTCTTTGAATCTGATTGGTCCATATCAAAGACAGCTTTCTTTAGAGCCTCGTCTCAAACAGTGTTAGACCATAGAACGCCAAAAGGCGAACAGCACAAAGACAATGCCACCCTCAGGGCATTTAGAGCTCGGGGTGAGCAGCTACATCGTGCGAAGTATCTTGCCAGTATCGTGTTCACTTCCCGAAAATTGCTCTGTAAGTGAATAAATGTTAAACGATCGTCGTTTTCCCACTGACTTCCGTGTTAAAATGTGAGATATGTTTCAGCCCTAAAATGTTCCAACTTTTGTAACACGAGATATACAAATTACTGTATCATTTTGTAATAAAACATCAATTGTAACACTGACAACCCATGTTAAACCACAGGGCGAGATCCCCCGTAGAGTCTATATCACCTCCTCACTCGCCACTGTCTCCCTCTCTCCGTCTCATCCACACAAACCTCTCCCTCCCCCCTCCAAAGACAAGGATCTCCCATATAGCCTGTAGGGGAAAGTGGTGTTAGCGAGCACCTATGAAGGCCGGCAGGGCAAACGAGGGTGTGGGTGGCCAGCACCACACCCGGCCACCTTTGTCTCCCTAGTGGCGATGTTTACACATCACACCAGGTACTCATTTAAGGCTGAGTCGACCTAGTGGTTGCCCAAGACCGGTTCAGATAATCGTCACGTGGTGGTGTTGCCCGGGAGCGGGAATCGAACTCGGGTCGCCGGGTTCTTAGCGTGGCGCGCTAACCACTACCCTCCCCACACACACGTACACCATAACACACACACACACAGTGTACACACAAACGTGTACACACACACCACAGGTGTACACACACACCACAGGTGTACACACACACCACAGGTGTACACACACACCACAGGTGTACACACACACCAACAGGCTACAATGTTCTAACATTGAGATTTTTTTCCGTTCTTTTATTAGTGCGCCCAGATTGATCAAATTCTACAATGAACGTCCAGACAAAACTCAGCCGAGCAAACAAGCAAAATAATTATCACGCTGGGATTCAGCAGGACGTGATCCAAACAGCAAGTTACAGAAGGCAACTGTTCTTCTACCTTGGCACTCACGGCACTCTTTCCAAGGCACAAGCGTGTGTCATCCAATACAGAATTATCAAGTCAATATGGTGTATTCGGCCATCCTCACAGCTGTGAGTATACGAACAGAATAAACATTTCACTGCTGCTCGAGGCGAACGTCTGGGGCGCCGCGGTGGCGAGATGTTATTTCGTTCGCCTGGATAGCCGGAGCGCGTGGGTTCTACCCCGACCCTGGCGCCTGCTGTATACAGTATTTGGAGTTTGTGTATCCCCCCACTACCCTCCTGGTGGTCCCGTGGATTTTTTTCTGGGACCTCCAGTTTTCCCCTCCATAGAATCAACGTGCGTTTAGATTATTTGGCCACTTTAAATTACCACGCGATAAGCCACTTCGTTGAGCGATCATTTGTGGCCAGGTTGCTTCAGAAAAAGAGCCATATAGGTCAACTAGAGGGAAGTACCCGGCGTTGCCCGGGTCTTAAAAATATTCCAAAACTACTCTTAAAAATCTAACAGCAGTGCGTACTGACTGTGGTGGTACCTGCTATGATTACAGCAGTGCATACTGTGGTGGTACCTGCTATGATTATAGCAGTGCATGCTGTGGTGGTACCTGCTATGATTACAGCAGTGCATACTGTGGTGGTACCTGCTATGATTACAGCAGTGCATACTGTGGTGGTACCTGCTATGATTACAGCAGTGCATACTGACTGTGGTGGAACCTGCTATGATTACAGCAGTGCATACCGACTGTGGTGGTACCTGCTATCACTACAGTAGTACATGCTGACTCTATAGCAGTATTTATCGACTGTATAGCACAAAGTACTCACCTGACAGAGTGGCGTGGTGAGGCCTAGTCCCGTGCAGAGCCTCCAGCCTCGCCTAGATTGTCCAGCCGGCCGAGGTGGCACCTTGGCAGGCTGGGGCTGGGCTGCTAACCCTGACCCACCCCCCCCCACAACCACGATCTCCCCGGCCGCTCTGCAGTAATATCTACGGCCTATAGTGGTAGCATCTAGCGACTGTATAGTAGTAATAACTGCACGCATCGGGGTGGGAGGGACATCAATCAGTGAAAAATTAACGTCAGCGTTTAGTGTATTTTATAGAATGTTTAACACGAGAGAAAATGTCCCCCTCACTCCCACTGAAGGCGTGCGACTTGGCATGGGCCGTCCCCCCACCAACGGCGCGTGAGTTGGTATGGCCGTGCACGCGTCATAAATAAATAAATGGAAAGTCCACAAAAATCGCACTAAATCGCTAATTAAACTTATTTAAAGTTGGCGGATGTGAAAAAGGAATAGTGCTTGCTCACCTGGCTATTTATTTTTTACGTAAACCCCACCGTTGGAGAGCCAAGCGCGTGACCACACAGAAACCCACACACAACCCCCGCCAAAATCCCACACGCAATTTTTGACTTTTATATATATACATGGGCCTTACCTGGTAAAATAAAAAGTTGCGTTTTTTTTGTTTGAATTTAGGTCATGTGTTTGTTCCCGACCGTCACACCTGCTGTATATTTGGAGTTTGCTTGTCTCTCTCTCTACCCCCATGGTAGTGGCGTGGGTTTTCTCTGGGTCCTCCGGTTGTTCCCCTCCACATTCAGAATCAACGTGCATTTAAATTCTTAGGCCGCAATTAATGTCCACACTATGAGCCACTTTCTTTAACTGTCATCTGTGATAGCGAGGTGGCTTCTTGAAAAGAGCTATACAGCTCAGTGGGCTGTACCTGGTAAAATAAAACGTTTGTAGAAGTAGCAGCCAAATGAGGCAACACACCCGATAGCACGTTCCCCGTGATGATAAAAAATGTTCGTTACACAGCCACTCAAGCTAATTTCACTCCTCCGTCTCCACGGTGACGGGTGACCTCTCAAGCGCCCGTTCCCCTCCTTTGGCTGCCACTCCATCGTTAGTCTCGACCATCGACCAGCATCCCTTCCACTTTCACACTTTGACCAAACGACGTAACGCATTTGCCTAATGGATTTGTAACGTTGTGGCGTCGACATCAGCAGGCGGGGGAAATGTACGTGTCCATATCTGCGTGCACACTGCACACGTGTGTGTACTGTGTTTAGTGGTTAGTGCGCTGCACGACGAACCCGGCAACCCGGGTTCGATTCCCGCTCATGGTCAACACGAGTAAAGATTATATGAACCGGTCCTGGGCCTCACCTAGGTCAACTAAGCCTCAAATAAGTACCTAGTGTAATTTGTACCATCACCACTAGGGAGACAAAGGCAGCTGGGCGTGGTGCTGGCCACCCACCCCCTCGTGTACTGTTCCGGACTTCATCAGTGTTTGCTAACAGCATTATCCTTAACAGTGTGTTAAGGCTATAACGGGGGATCTTTGTCTTTGAACACGTTTTCCACACCTGGGCAGTGTGCATATGACCAGCTACGATTTGACAAATGAGGGCTTACTACGAATCACTCGGGTGGCATTATATTTTCATCGGCTGCGTAATGCCACATGGAAGCTACCTGATCTGTTGCACCAGATGAAGCTTCCTGTCTTCTAGGCCACATGCATGCCCTCCCTTCTCTATGCTTGCGAAACTTGGACCGCTATAATGGAACATCTGTGCCGGTTATAAACATTCAGGCTGGCCTACCTACGATCCATCCTGGGTTCAACCATGCTGGATTGGCTGGGTCATGTAGCCCGCATACCCAGCTACCACATGCCCAAGCAGCTTCTGTTTAGCCAAATAGAGGGGGCTAAACGGGCACGACACGGGCTAGAGAAGAGATGGACTGAAGGACGCTGCTGGGCAGTTGGAGGCAGTCGCTCTCCAACAACAACGGAGGGCAGAGAAGTGACGCGCACATAGAGCAGAGCGCCAGGCGGCTAAAATGCATCTATTTGGCACAGTATGGGGCACAGCTGGTGCATCTTCCAATCATCTCAGTCAACCCATGGCACCTAGGTCTGGCCCGTGACCTCCTGTCAGCGAGACGTTGACAATTCCCGTGGCCCCAAAGTGCACCTGGCCTGGCACATGCACCATGGTGACGTCACCACCATTTATGTTTATGTCTGCGTGTACGCGTTGTGTGTGCTCTCAAACCAGGCGTTGTGTGTCTTGATTGGAGGAGTGCATACGTCACAAGGATTTTGCAATCGCTCCACGCAATATGAACTGAATGGCCTCTGCTGTGATCAATGTTCTTCTGGTAAGAAATCAAAATAATTTTAGAAACAAAACCGATCATGAATGTTGAACTTCTTTCGCACCATACATAGCCAACCGTGATAAATGGAGGTGGGGGAATCATCAACGCTACAGCACCATTAACTGTGGTACACACCAATGCTTAAGTGGCCAATTTCCAAATTGCATTCCTCTCCCTCTCGCGCAAAATGTACTCCCCTTCTTGCATTGTCAGCAAGCATTTTTAGTGAATCCCTTAATAAAAAAAACTTCCTGGCCACAGCCTAATGTCAGTGAATGGCAGCCCATCTAACACTCTACCGTCGGCCCTTGATACCTCAAATCTTCTGGGCATCCTCCCCTTCCCCAATGTCTCTTTCTGCATGTTGAAAACCTCCAACATCAACGCATTAACCTCGACAACAAGCTCTAATGTTCATTTTTTTAAATTATTATTGTATTGGGTCTTATGATGCGATTGAATTTAAGTGCTGTGGATATTGACGTTTTTGTTGACTAATGCTAGTTCTCTGTAGGCTCAGATTAACATGGGTACCCTAACTTGAACAATCTTCTATGGGTGTTGAAAAGTTGCTCTCTGCCGAGTGGCCTTGCACAGCGTACCAAGTTGTAAAAATAAACAGGAGCTAACAGACGCCATTTTACACGAGTGCCTGTGTTCGCGATTGGGTGACAGGACACTTTCGATCCGCCTGGTGCACCGCGGACTCGCCGACTGGCTGCCAGCCGTGCCCTGAGGGCACCTACAACTCGGAGTACAACATCTACCCCAGATGCGAATACTGCACTCGCTGCATTCCAGGTGAATTTACAATAGTTCATCCGAGTTTGACACACGCCATGTTATTAATTTTACAATAGTGTATCATGTGGTTATTAGCAGTGGCGGGCCGTGTATTTTACATCTAGGTCTTCAGTGCGATCCTCCCGCAATTAAACCACCTTCGAATAACCTCACCATGACGCTTGGGTTATAGGCTGTCGTCAATCGACGTAACCACCCCATATTCACAGTGACTGTAACCTTTATCGAGTGGAATGAAGTGATTGAACACGAGGCTCAACACCTATGAGAGTTACAATACACTCATTGCAGGGACATCAATACATGGTGACTGAAACCATCAAGGATGTACCACTATTACACAGTATGACAGGATGCTCCATCACAAATAGACATCGCATAGCCCAAATCAATGTCATTACCAAAGAAACAAGGACAAACTCACAATAACCAGTCACATTTACTCATACGACCATCAAGCAAGCAAAAATACCTTAAAACACAAATAATACAATCAGGATTCACAGCATTGCCTTTCCCATCCACGTCAAATCCTTTCGACTACTAAGCAGCCATCGTACCGAGGCGTGACATTTATTGCACCCTGATGTGACTTTTTTATGAGGTGTGGGGGGCGGGGGCTTATTTCAGACCCCTACTTAACACCTTGTGCCACATGTGCAGCCGTGTCAGAGTGATGGCGGACTTACAATTTTTTTAATTTGTGTAAATCTTTCGGTATTCGTGCCCCAAATGAAAATTTGGCCTGTTTGGCTGTGTCCAGTTGGTGGAGCATGTATACCTCTAATTGACATTTGACCAGCTCAATCTAGCCCAATAAATTAATTATTAATCTTAAAACTTACACTCTATGCTTTAAGAAAAATGCCTGTGTCGTTTGTAGCGTTTCGCCAGGTGAAGAAAGAGGGCTGCACACGTACTCGGAACGCAAGGTACGTATCATCATCATCTTCTTATATATAAAAGTTTATGGGCACGCGCGCTTGCGAGGAATTTGGCTCTCGAACGGTGGGGTACATGTCTAAAAAAATTTGCCAGGCAGCACGCAGTAAGCCCCGTGCTTGGCATAGGTTATTTTTTCACGTCCGTCATCTTTAAATTAGTTGCATTAGCGATGCAGTGGGATTCCGCTTTATTTATTTATTTATTGCGCGACATCGGCCGTACCAACTCACGCCATTTGGGTGGGGGGGGACGTTGGACCATACCAAGTGATGCGCGTTCGGTCCAGCTCACGGGGGACATTTTCTTTTACGCGTTTAACACGCAATTACCAAAACACACAACGCCGCGGCTATTTCTTAACAGTGTGATGTCCTCTTCGCCCCCCCAACACGATGCGTGCAGTTAATACTGCAGAGTCTAGATAGTAATATTATAGCATTATTGTTGCACGGGGCGGGGGGATTGTGGTGGGGGTGGGGGGGGGTAGTGGCCCAGCTCCCAGCCTGGCAATATGCCACCTCCACCGGCGCGGCAATGTAGGCCAGGACGGGGGCTCCGCACGGGACTGGGCCTAACCACGGCTATGGTGAGCGCAACATTCCTTGCTTTGTACGCAACAATCACGTGTGTACAAAACTGTTGCTTTTATTCATCACCTTGGAAATATTCTGTTATAGTTTTTTGTTCGTAACTTGCCCATTACTTGCATCTTTATTATTGTGTCAACTCGCGTTCAAATACACCTCTTTATGCAAATATCACATTCCTATTATTGCGTTACTTATCTTCACTTACAGCTTTCGTGACTGCAGGATTTCATATTCGTTTGCCTCTTTCTCTTACGTCACGTAGCTACAAACATTTTCACACATTTTGCATTTGTCACAATGCCATACACACCATACAAATCGTACACCTAATATTTTTGGCTTATATCTTTGGCCATTACTTTCATCTTTATTATTTTGTCAACTCACCTTCAAATACACCTATTTTGGAAAATATCACCTTCCTATTATTGCATTACTTATCTTCACTTATGGCTTTCGTCACTGCAGGATTTCATATTCTTTGCCGCCTGGGTAAAACTACATGGTCGTGAGTCGGAGACATTCCCTCTACACCTTCGGGTGCGACAGGGATGTCCTCTGGCTCCCACATGATTTTACATCTATTTTTACCACGTACTTCGTGAAGCCTTCAATCTGCTACAGATACAATGGGAGGCTGATCGATGCCCGGATGCGGTCAAGGGATGTTATGTATGCCCATGATATGTTAATTGCTGCTCACTCAGAGGACGAGTTGGAGGCGCTGCTGCTGAACCAGGAGCTTGCCACTAAGAGGTGGGGCTTTGCCATCAGCCCCACCAAAATTAAGCACCTGCCTGGGTGTTTTGTACCATCGGACACTCCACCCCCACAACTCCCAATTGGTGATGGGCCGGTTGTGGAGAGAGTGGAGAGTTCCCCATACCTGGGCAGAGTGCTCATGACCGGCTCCGGTTTAACAGCAGAGGTCTCACTCCGAATCAGTCCAGCGGCATTAATTTTTTCATCGGTTGTGTTACGCTGTGTGCAAGCTACCTGGTCTGTCGCTCCACACGAAGCTTCAGGTCTTCTCGGCCACAGTCATTCCCGCCCTTCTCTACGCATGCGAAACGTGGATCCCCCTAATGGAACATCTTCACTAGTTACAAACATTTAGGCTGGGCTGCTTACGATCCATCCGGTGTCTAACCACGCTGGATTGTGAGGAGCTCACAAATCCTTTAAAGATGTGGACAAAGTCTCATCGGTGAGCTCCTCCGGCAGGCAAGGCTGCGTTGGTTGGCCCATGTAGCCCGCATGCCCAGCCACCGCATGCTGAAACAGCTTTTGTTCGACCGGATCGTGGGGGCTAAACGGGCGCAGCACGGGCTAGACAAGAGATGGAGTGATGTGCTACAGGAGGATGTGCAGCTGAGTGGACTTGCCAATGACTGCTACCAGTAGTCTCAAGATCGGCCTCTGTGGAGGAGGCTCGTGAAGCACGCTACTGGCCAGTTGGAGGCAGTCGTCCTTCATCAACAACGGGGGCGGAGGAGTGACGCTCACAACGAGCGAAGCGCCGGGTGGCTAAAGCACAGCAGGTTGGCACAGTAGGGGGCACAGGTGGTGCATCAACCAGTCGTCTCAGTCGACCTGTGGCATCTGGGTCTGCCCCGTCACCTCCTGCCAGCGGGCGTTCGACACTTCACCTGGCCTCAAGGTGCACATAACCTACCACAAAGCATCGTGTTGACATCACCGCCACTTCGTGCTGAATGGCGGTTCTTGTTTTTGTATGGTATTGTGTGATATTTTTTACACTTTTCATTATTTTTCTATCTGCGTGACTTTACCGAAAGATACAATCAATGTACATTAATCATGTATGTTTGCAGACAACTAATTCTTGTATTCCATGCTTCGTTTGCTCATCTCTTGTACACAGAAACCTGGTATTTTTATTATCACCTTCAAAATATTCACGTATTTCCGTCTGTGTGCTCACAACTATTATTTGATTATTAACTTGGTCTGCATTCATTTCTTTGGTGTCAAATCACCTTCATAGCAACCTATTTTTTCAATAATCACCTTGCTAATATTACAATCATAATGTTTGTGTGCTGACATATTTCTGTTCCTTGCTTCTTCCACTAAACTCATGTTTATAGAAAGTGTGTGTAAGTCGATGTGTGTCTGTCTTTTTCACCCGGGCAACGCCAGGTACTTACCGCTAGTAAATTCTAATTTTGTGAGAACATATATGTGCATGTATGTGTGTGAGCACGCGTTTTTGTGTGTGTGTAGCTATAATATGCCGTGCCGCACTTAATAGGTGCTCGCTAATAGTCTATACATGCCATCTTATCGGCTTACGCAGTCTATAGAAGTATCCAAGCCGTTCGGCACTCATGCCCCCTGGTTGTGTCTCTTTAACTCGCCACAGGTGTGGCTGTGAGAAGGACGAGAACATCTCGAAATTTGCAAAGCAGGGCACCTTGTTCTGGTGCTGTCCAAAATGCCCAGCGGGCATGGAGACTCTGAACGAATGTGAGAAACCAATCTTCATCACCGTCCTCATCGGTTCACCATAAAAGCACGCACATGTCACGAATGTGGTACAAGCACAATACTGGAATCTCCCCCCCCCCCCCCCCCCCGCTAAACGTAATGAATGTGTTCCTTGGAAATGCTACTGAACTCAAAATTATTTCATAAGGCAAACTATAATTTCCCATGTTACAATCAGGGGTCGCGTTCCTAGCCGACATGTCTGGGGAAAAAATGCGTGATTACATATATTATAAGTTTTCCAAATTTAAACTAATAATAAATACAAATAATTAGACAAAACATGATTGAATATCTTGCTGATCAAGGTGTCTTGGGTGATCAGTGGTGTGGAGTTATGCAGACAAAGGGGCCTCTTTGCCGTGATTTTTCTTGAGGTCTTCAAACGTTAAGTATTTTCCTGGATGTTCAACTTATGAATAAGCACACTATGCTGACTTTGATCTTCAATCCCAGACACTTAAAAGTCTTTCCATATTTTCTTCAATTCCACATCTGCTCCGAGTTATACCGGTAGACCTCGTAGACCTGGCCACAAATGATATCCCAATCATGTGGCTTATCATGTGGAAATTTACAACAGCCTCTAAACGCACATTGATTCTAAATGTGGAGGGAAAAACTGAAGGACCCGGAGAAAAATCCACTCAACCATGGGAAGAACATGCAAACTCCAAATATACAGCGGGCACCAGGGTCAGGATCGAATCCACAACCTCCTGTGTACCGGGCGAGGTAGTTAATGTTGAGTTTTCATTTATGATAGCCAGGTCACTTCTGAAAAACAGCTATATTGTAGCTCAGTGGGCCTTACCTGGTAAAATAAAAATGTAGAGACGATGGTCTGAGTTAAAAGCGTCTCATCTCTCTATCCACCCTCCAGGTTCCTTTACGGATTTCGTCACCACGTGCAGCCCCTGTCCTCCAGGCACGTTTAGTGACCATCCCGGGTCCCGCTGCCGAAACTGCACACGGTGGGTTCAATGCAGAACACTTTGCGACGTCTCCCTTTCCCCGGTGCTAACCGCACACCGTGGTAAAAATGTGAAAGGTGGACGAACGGAGTCACCCGTAAAACGACTTTGGTTGGGGAACTGCACCACCTCTGTCACTCTCCGTGGTCACAGATTGCAGCTAAGAATTCAAAATCGCCCTCGAGATGTCACCGCCACTTCGTGGTGACGGTGAAATTATCTTACACGTCTTCTGAAACTGTTGGACGTGCGTGTGTGTCTGTCTTTGTGAAGCTGTGAACGAGAGCTGTCTCCGTGTACGAACGCCAGCGACGCCGTCTGCAGCGGTACGATGATTCTACGTGCACACGGCAGTGGTTTAATAACAAAAGGGGGATGATGTACATGTTCTTCATCGATATTTCTCCAGGTGTTCTTAATCAATGTGTGTGTGTGTGTATTATTCACTGAGTCTTCAAACGTTGAGCATTTTGCTGGATGTTCAACTTACGAATCAGCACACTATGCTGACTTTGATATTCAATCCCAGAAACTTATAAGTTTTTCCATATTTTCTACAATTCCGCATCTTTTCCGAGTTATGCCGGTAGACCTCGTCGACCTGGCCACAAATGATATCCCAATTAAGTGGCTTATCACGTGGAAATTTACAGCAGCCAAATGCTATAAACGCACGTTGAATCCATAAGTGGAGGGGAAAACCGGAGGACCCAGAGTAACATCCACTCGAGCATGGGGAGAACATGCAAACTCCAAATATACAGCAGGCATCAGGGTCGGGATCGAACCCAGGACCTCCTGTATACGAGGCGAAATCGTGAATGCTGAGATTCAATTTGTGATAGCCAGGTCACTTCTGAAAATCAGCTACATAATAGCTCATCTGGTAAAATAATAAAAAAAACATTTGTTTAGTTTATAGACGATGGTCTGAGTTAACACCGTCTTACCTCTCTCCCCCACCCTTCAGGTTCCTCAAAGGTCACCAAGTGCACCGAATGTCCTCCAGGCACGTTTCGTGACCGTCCCGGGTCCCCCTGCAAAAATTGCACACGGTGGGTCCAGTGCAGGACACTTTGCGACGCCTCCCGTTCCCCCGTGCTAACCGCACGCCGTGGTAAGAATGTGAAAGGTTGACTGACGGAGTCACCCGTAAAACGACTTTTGGTTGGGGGTCTGCACCACCTCTGCCACTCTACGTGGTCACAGATTGCGGCGAACAATTCAAAGTCGCCCTGGAGATGTCAACTGACGGTGAAATTATCTTACACGTCTTCTGAAACTGTTGGCCGTGTGCGTGTGTCTGTGTCTTTGTGAAGCTGTGAACGAGAGCTGTCTCCGTGTACGAACGCCAGCGACGCCGTCTGCAGCGGTACGATGATTCTACATTCACACGGCAGTGGTTTAGTAACAACAAGTGATGATGTACATGTTCTTCATCGGTACTTCTCCGGGTGTACTTAATTAATGTGTGTGTGTGTGTGTTGTTATCCAGGCCCAGATGTATCTGCAAATGGCAAAGCACATGCAGCGATAGCTGCAGGAGCAGCAGTGAGTCTCTCCCTCTGGGTTGCTGTGCTGATGGTGCTGATGTTGCTCCATTCCCGTCGTGCTTCCGTTCAACACAAGGATGCCCCTCTGAGCGACGTCAGTGCCATGGATAATTTTTCCACCCAAGGCTCCTTAGCAACCCTGCAACGCCCAGACGAAGTTCAGTCAATGCTGAATGCTTGCAATGACATCGAATGAATCGTCGTGTGAGTGTGTGTACAGTGGAAATGAATCTGAGACAAACGGATATCAGCCCTGTTGTCAGACCCCTCCTAGTCTTTATAACGGCCTCAATACCTGAGGCCTGTTAAGAGGCGTGAACACTGAGATACATCTGGCTTCATGATAGAGCTTCTCTACAGTTCTTGTAAGGTTATCATCAGCTAACACAATATGCATTAGCATTGTTGTGGAGAATATAAGTAACAAATAGATAAGTACACGAAATAATATCCTTTACAATTTTTTTCCCTGCAGATAAATACGTGAGCATTTTTGTTTATATGTCCTATCAGCCACACGGCCTTCTGGGTTTGCTTAACTTCAGCAGCATTGGTTCAATACGAGACAACTCTGGACAGGGTTTTTGACTTTCAACTTGGACAGGCTCATTGGGTCAAGTTCACCTTCAACACACACACAACACACACGCGCGCATAACCCAGTCCATTACCTGCATCTGTGAGCCAAGACATCGGCGATCGTGACCTTCCTTCCATTTAGCTCTGCCCATGACATTTATACTCAAGAACTCCCAGATGCATTCAAAATTATTCACATATCTTGCGCAACGTTCCCGGATGCCTTCCACGGCTTCTTTGTGGTGCCTGTAACGTCCCCAGTCAAAATATGTCTTCGTTTTTTTAATTAAATGTCCATGAAATCGAACGTTCCTTTCCCATCTTGTCTGTCCGTACTGGAAAAAAATACATTTCTGTTGCTTTTGGTTCAATTTGTGGTGTCTCCTTTTACATCCATAAAGAAGAACTGGATGATACGTAGCACTGCAATATTCTGATTATTGTCATTAATAACCTTATTTTTCAATATCGATCCCATTTTTCTGATTAAACAGTATGTGTGTATGTATTTCATTTACCTACACAAAGCGTTTATTCAGGAACAAATTCCTCAAATCTTAAATGCGGCACAACACTAACGTACACTGTACCGAGGACCAAACACACATAGACTCACAATGAGACCCTTAGACTCACACAGAGACGCTTAGACTCACACAGAGACGCTTAGACTCACACAGAGACTCATAGACTCGCAGAGAGACCCATAGATTCGCATAGGCTCGCATAGGGACCTATATACTCACATCGACTCTCGACCTTGACTGACAGACTCATTTACTCACACGCAGACCCAGCCTTGTAGATATACCTATACACTTAGACAGAGACCCATAGACTCACAGAGCGACTCACGCAGAGATACATAGACTCAGACAGAGAACCATAGACTCACTCAGAGACCCATAGACTCACTCAGAGACCCATAGACTCACACAGAGACCCATAGACTCACTCAGAAACCCATAGACTCACACAGAGACCCATAGACTCACTCATAGGCCCAAGGACTCACGCAGATACCCTTGGACGCACGGAAACTCACACAGCGACTCATAGACTCACATGGAGACCCCTAGACTCGCACAGAGAATCAAACTCAGTGTAAACTGTGAGCATTTTTCTATATTAAAGCCACAAACATCTGGAATTCCATCTCTTCAAAAATCTCCACGGTTACTCTCCCATCGAAATCACTATTTGATGCGAAGCTGTCAATTCTTTCTCACGTCATTTGCATTTAACACCACATATCCTTGTCTTTACATATTAACACGATCATAATGGTGTTTTTATAGTCTCATTTAGAATGTTGTCCTGTAATTGATTTAGAAGGAATCTTCCTGAACCGATATGTGCTTCAGGGAATTTACGTTTTAACTTTTGCTTAGTATTTATTTTAACTTGCAATATATGTGATTCTTCACGTGATAGTTGTTTTTGTCTCGATAACTTTGTTGATGTACTTCAATCGAGCCTGTAAAACATGATTGTAGCTCTGAATTTAAATCTTCTTAGGCAAAGGCAAGATTGTAATGCTATTTAACGTGATGGGGGAATTCTGCACGATAGTAAACATATAAGGGCATTTGCCAGAACCTTATCTTCTTTGGTTCTTTCGGTAAAGTCACGTAAAATGAGAATATAATAATAAATTGATAAAATAAAAAAATATTCTCACGACGTTTCGGAGGACAGCGCTGTCCTCCAGACAGTCTCGTCCCCTTCACCTGATGAAGGCCGCTTGTGTTGTGGCCGAAACGTCGTGAGAATATTATTGTGTTATTTTATTTTATCAATGTATTATTTTATTCTCATTCTACGTGACTTTACCGAAAGAACCAAAGAAGATGAATCCTTGCAGTCACGAAAGCTTTAAATCGAAATTTAACCATTGTCTTGTGTAATTAAATCTGGGTGCAATCATTAAATTATATATCACTAGCAGGAAGTAGCCAGCTTTATCCAGTGGAAAAAACACACACATATTTCAAAGCTTGTGCTCTGTTAAAAAAAACCCATAACGTATACACAAATACTAAACAGGTTTTTCCTTAGCCCGTTCTACTGCAGTGCCTGTGCAGTCTCTGGCTTTCCTTGACACACGCTGCTTTGGGGTTTCCTCAGCCTGTGCCTGGAAGGCGCATTCCTTGTTTGCTGTTGAGACAGCCGCTACTCTTCTACCGTTTGTGTTGTGCACCGCGGTGCCACCGCTCTCTTCGTGTTTGTTGTTTTATTTTTGGAATTTTTTTTTAATTTTTCAACAAAATTAATGAGTCGATAAGCAAGCGTGTTTGCCTTGCTAGGGGCAACCGCGAGTCAGAGTTCTGCTCACGTGCAGATGTTTACTTTAGCACGCGGCTCTAATGTATCATTACGACGATCAGCAGACATTGTACAAGTTTGATGTTACTAGCTTACATATAAGACATCGATATTACTGTAAAAACAATCACAGTATTTTATAAGTTTTGGTTGGTATTACAATCCAATGAATACTTTGGTTGGAATTTTAAGGTGAATTATCATACAAATCAACGCATTGTATATATGTCCAACGCATTGCGCATGTATTACTCCGTGTAACCATTAAAGTCTATTCCTGGCTGATGTGTCTAACTTTTTCTACTTCAATGCTAATACAGTACATTACTACACTCTACTGGGATGCTGGCATGGTGTAGTCGTTAACGATTTGAGCTTTCAAATCGGAGGTTGCTGGTTCGATTTTCGTCTCCCGGTGCGGCACTTGATTTATGAGATAGTTTCTTACATGTGTGTATATATGTACGCGATGACTGTTTGTCACCCATGTGTAGTGGATTCGGATTAGGTGCACAAACAACTTCTTGGGAGGCAACACTTATTTATTAATGAACACAACAGTTAACTCTTACATTACGCATAGGGTGGTGACCACCGACTTACTCTAGCTAACACACACTTCTCAGATACTCTAGGGAGGTACAGCCTCCTGTCTTGACGGGACTAACTCACGCGTCTACCGCTATCCTAGAGTCCTCCGGCTGGGACCTACACACGGATCTCTTCTTGGCGTCTTCACGATGCATCTTCATTCTTGATACGGGCAGCCTCGAACCTCGTGAGGAGGCTTCTTATATGGGCCTCGGTGTGCCCGGACCCCGCCCGCCCTGGCCACGCCTCCCTTCGAGAACCTTCTCGAAGCCCCATACTCTTTGGTTCTATTCGGTAAAGTCACGTAGGTAAAAAATAAAACAACAAAAATCACGACGTTTCGGCCACAACACAAGCGGCCTTCATCAGGTGAAGGGACCAGGCTGTCTCGAGGACAGCGGTGGAGTGAAACACAGTCACGCTCAGACCGCGACCTTTAAGCTGTGTCCGAGGAAACAAGGTGCCTTGACAAAGGAATTAGCATATAAATTTGCATTTAATTGGCCGACTTAGCATGATGAACGGTGTAGAGGTGGTGTACATGCGGGTGAACATGCCGGTTGGCGTGGGGGGGAGGGGGAGTTTACCTATTGATGGTGTGAAAAGATGTTCTAAATCGAACCAAACATTAAACTAATTTTCAATGGTACAGTATATTTTTCAAGTAGTGGTACCCCAAACTTTCGCAGCTCTTAATAAATTCCACCTGTGTGCCCGTCTCTTCGCAACACCGACACCAAACAAACGATATTTTAAGGAAGACTGTTTGAGCATCGCAAGCTGTATAATTTCCCGAGGGGGATTTCACAGCCGTGATGTCTCGTCCTGCAATGATGTGCGGAGGAGAGAAAAAAACAACAACGTTATTAACCCCTTACCTCGACTGTGTTTGCAATGCTGTCGTGGTGCAATGGGTTTTTTTGTTGTTGTTTTGCTCAACCCGAGCTCTCAATGTGCAATGACCCACATTCCAGATCACTCACCCGAAGCCAAGCAACAGACTACCAGGAAATAGACCGAGGCCACCGAAGCGATTTGTCGGGAGGCAAGATTCAAAGGGATCGGAGGAGAGAATAAGAACCGAAAAAGTCGGGGGACATGTGGGGAGGGTTGAGATGACGCTCGAGAACCGTTGGTGCAGGAGGATGAGGATTGGACTGAGAGAGTGGGATGAGTAGAGGTTCGAGAAGGGGAGTTCATCTATTTATATAAAAAAGGGAAATGTGTGAAAATGTGTGTATGTTCGAAATGTTTAGCATACTACCCGACATGCAATAAACTTGAAATTTGGCATGAGGGTAGTTCCCAGACTGTACACAATGCAAAAAGTATAAAAATATACTTTTGTTCTTTTTGGGGAGGGGAGGGGGCACAATAATGCGTATATTTTGCACGGCAAGTGAGCTATGACGTCACATCTGTCATGTCACCCGCATGCGGCAGCGTCACGCAGTGTACCTGCATCCCCCCCCCTCCACACACCCTCCGCGTAGGCCGTGTGTTAATCCAAGACAAGAATCCGAGTCTCGGGCGAAGCCGGGTAGTAAAGCTCGTTGGGGTATGAAGGGGGACAGCACAAGGGGAGGTGACGTTCGGGTAGAGGCCGAGCTACGAGCATCAAGAACGAAGCCCCGCCCCAGTGTTGGTGCTGCGTCCAATCAAAGGCTCCGAGCCGCGACGCGTGTCGGCGTCATTACAAACTCCATCATATCCGCGTCGCCATTTTGTGCTGTTCGCCTCTTTGCGTTGCTCTCTTGAGTCTGACACCGGGTGAGACAAGGCCATGATGGAGGCTGTGGTGGCGGAACATCGAGTATTCAGGGGCAATGAATACAGCATCATCGCATTGTTTGTTTGCATTGCCCTTGTACTGTTCGCCTTTCCACGTTCTTTGCTCGATTGCTACCGGTGAGATGAGGCTATAAAGGAGGCCGTCTCTGCTCTGATGTAGGCCAATCAGTTTCAAGTGCAATGCGTCCATTATACCACAAGCATGATGCGTGGTTAATGCGGACTTGACGATGCCTTGCATTAGGAGGTGGCCATTTGGTGTTTGAACATCTTAACACAACTCCTGTATTATTATTATTATTCTTCCCGGTAAGAGTTACTGCGATTCTTTGCAACACACTGCGGTTTGCATCCCAGAGGTTGCCGGTTCTATTCAATACCCAAGGGGCCGTCCATAAAATGACGTCACGCACCTGGAGGGGGGTGGGGGGGGAGTCAGACATTTGTGACGATGTGTGACGAGGTGGAGGGGGGGGAGGTGCTTGAGAAATGTGACGTCACGTCAAAATGCGCAACATTAAATAAATATAGAATTGTTATAACAACACTCCTATAACATCAGAGTGCAGCGCCACATTAAATACGCACTAAAATGGCAATAGTTTAAAG